TTGGGATTCCTGGGATCTCAATTGGATTCGTCCGTGCTCATCTAAATTCCTGGATTTGCCATTGCCATCCACGACCTTGGCTTTTTAGAAAATCTCACTCCTGTGTTGTAGGACTTGTAACTCAACGGTCCATCGGGCAAGTTTCTTTATCCTTCCAGTTTTGAATGTTTTCTTGAATTGTTATAACGGCCCATAAATAGGGTCTACTGAACATCACTTAAAAGTTTTTCATACCCATCAAGTCTTTACTCAATGCTTTCAAGCTTATGTTCAATGTCGATGGTTTGTTCCCCGCTTGTACTATCCTTAGTCATCAGATGAGGTAAAAATCCTTGCTCTAACACTGATTTTGATTTTGGGAAGATGTAGAATTTTGTAAAAACTAAAAATTCAAAAATATTATCTAAAATAATTTGAATATGATGATTATAAATTGTGATCACAAACAAATCTAATCCTCTTCTTATATAAACGTAGGAAGAAGAGGTATATTCTAATACTAGTAGGCTAAGCGAAAGAAATTGATACCCGAAAAGAAACGAAAACTAATAGTGGAAACTCTTTCAAAATAACAAAATTAACATAATCCTATAGTTGCTAGGATCCCTAATCACTAACAATAATTAAATCATAAATTAATACTAAAAAATTAATAATTGATATTTATTCTACATCAATTATAACATGATTTTTAGTTAAACCAAATATAAATAGAATAAAAATCAAGGAAAAAGAAAAAGAAAAAGAAAAGTGAAAATTTAGTTAAACCCAGCTCCACACACACACAAAGAATAAGCTTAAAGTAACCATTTCAGTAGGCTTGTCAAAGATAATTAATTATCTTAGTTACAATGTCTCGCTAAGCCAAACCACTAATGACATTTCAACACTAATAATAAGAAAAAAAAAATCCAATACCTGTCCGATATAATCTAATTTTGCACATCAAACATGTCCTTACATGTGTCTCTAGGCCATGCAAAACTTGAAGACCTTCAATGCATATTGATACATAGTAGCAAAGATGACCAGAGAGTATAAACAACAGTTTAGCTGATTAGTTTTCCTTAATACTATCTAGTGCCCAACTTTTCCTCAACGTAAGCGACAACGAGTGAGGAAGATAATGAAGAGATCAAACACAATAATAAGAAGAAATAATACTTATCATTTTGGCAGGGGGTGGAGAAAGTGGACAAATCAGACTCACATTTCTCATTGAACAAATATAGGAAAAGAATCATGTTGAAAACTTCCAAACAAACATGTTATCAACGTAGTCTCAATCACCTTCCGAGCCATCATAGGATTCCTAACACACTGCAAGAAGAGAGATTGACACAATCAAAAGAAGTAATGATATTGCACAAGACTACTCAGTTGAACAAATAATCCAGAGTTGTGGAAACTGTGCCACTAGGAACAGGAGAGGTCATTTACAAATTATCGATACAGGTGAAAGAACACAAGAATTTCACCAACTCCTTTTTCATCTTCAAAACACAAATGAAAAAAAAAAAATCAAACTATACGTGTTCTTGACTAATTGGATAGTCATTATTTCTCACAGTAATCTATTAGACAACCAAATCATGCATTGGCAATATTCAGTTAATCCATCATAAATATAAGGTAATGACAGTGGGCATCAACGAAGAGATTATAAGCAATAGTCAAGGGGAAAGTGGCATATGATTACTTTCTCGTCATGGAAGACAATTATGAGCTCAAGAAGCCAGTTGATCCAATCAATATAATGTGTATAAGTAAAATCTATTAGATCATACTCGGCTAAGCTAATATATTACTTAGGAGTAAGTTTACTAGTAAGAAATAAGTTGTACCTCAAAGCTGAAAATGAATAACTTTATTTAAAAGTCACCCTCTGTCAAAATAAATAACTTTTTTACACAAGTAAAGAAATAACATGTCCTTAAAACCTCGTCAAGCATTCTGACTACAGAGAGAGGATACACTGAACAAGATTCAAAATCATTCACTCAAGGTAAACTCCATAAACAAAAGAAATGACACAAAGCACATTGTGAAAGCATTCAAATATCCATATTAAAATTTTCTGATATCCTAAAGTGCTATTATTTCAAATAAGAGAGCTTTTGCCAACTAGGGGGAAAAAAAAAAAGAACAGATGATAGAAGGAGCAAATGCATGTCAAATCACGGGGGCATGATAGAGAAGTAAAAGAGGATGCAAACTACAATTCTGTTCTCAGTGGAAAATATTGCACTATTGATCCCCAAGTATATTATTCGAGTAGCACCAAAAATTTTAACAGGTACAAGTTGGTCCTCAATCGTTCATTGAAGTTGCACAATCTGTCCCTCTGTCCCATTGTCGAAAACCATCCAAATCTCCGTGAAATCTTCACATAGCCCCCACAAGTCTTAACTTTTTGAAGCTAGGTTTTGTATCGCCACTTAGGTTGGTGTGCAGAAATTTGATGAGAGGCATGTTTCTGTAAGGGTCATGTGACAATTTATTGATTCATTCATTTTCACCATTAAGTACCGATAGTGAAAGGTTGAGGATCCACTTGCTCCTTTCTAAATGTTGCAAACCAAAAACGCTACTTGGGTAATAGGTCGGGGGGACTGATAATGCAATTTTTCCTTAAACGTGGCAAGTGACCGAAATACGAATAAATTTTTCTTGTAACAATGCCAAAGAGTTGGTATACGCGCAAACCCATCCAGAAGTGAAGGTTTGTTATGCCAATGCCTCAAGGATACTCGCGGGCTTATCTGAAGATGAGCGATTCTCCAAGTCATGACCAATAAATAAAACATATACTTATTATATAATCCAGACCCACCCACAGAATAAATAGAACATATTGACAAGAAAGAAGAATCAATAGACTGCCAGAACCTCAATCTTTCAATACTGTGACATAAAACAGGTATTGAAGGCCACCCTTCAGTCCAGCACAAGCTTTTTCCATTTTTACAAATTTCGGTCTTTGAAACTCTTGGCCAATTTTCATCTTAAGGTTTCCTTCACTTGGAAGAATAATTATGAAAACCACAATATCTACTCATGTCCTCCAAAAGAAAAGATGGAAATAGAGATGCTTACTCAATAATGACCAGAAATATGATGACAAGGTGGACATTGCATCCATCATGCTATGCTTACCTGCCAACAATCAAAAAAGTGTTAGGCACACAATTAGATGATAGAAAAATGAGGTAGAGTTTGAATAACTCTATCCTTGATTAACAAAGTCCACCCCAAAAATTTACATTACTTACATCAACATTAGAATGCATCATCTACATGCTTGCAAGTTAAATATCTTCAACTGCATATGCCAGAAATTTGGTTAGAAGTTTATCTGTAAGAATCTGCTAAAAGGCTTCAAGCAGATTACATTCACTGCCTTTTCTATACTAGACTTCCAATCTGTACCAGAACTAACTTCTCTGAAACATTGGAGAATCAGCAACATACAGCAAATCAAGAAGCTATATTTCCAAGCAATAAATACTTGGAGACGTGGTAAATGACCCTAGTATCAGATCAAAGGTCTTAGAAGATGGTAGACAGTAAGTTGAACAAGCCCGACAAGAGACACATGCTTTTAACATAGCATTTAGCGTATCATCTTATACCATTGCAAAGTGGTGTCTGATTACACTGCAAGTCTGTATAACCTTTAAGCATACAATCTGCAAAACATAGGTGAGTGATAGACACCGCCTCCATCTCTTTTCAAGTGGATACTGACCTTGCTAACTGAAATGAGCAAGCCTTAATAATTGTACACAACTTCCAAATAGAGACCAGACACATGGAATTCTGCTCAAAGATACAGAAAATCAAGATGCTATATTTCCAAGCAATAAAGACTTCAAGACATTGTAAATGACCCTAGGATCAGATCAAAGTTGTTAGAAGATGGAAGACAGTAAGTTGCACAAGCCATACAAGAGACTCAAGCTTTTTACATAGCATTTAGTGTATACCTTATACAATTGCAAATCTGGTCTCTGATTACACTGCCAAGTCTATAACCTTTGAGCATGCAAGCTGCAAAACACTGGTGAGTGACAGAAACCGCCTCCATCTCCTTTCAAATGGATACTGACCTTGCTAGATGAAACGAGCAAGCCTTACTAATTGTACACAACTTCCAGATAAAGACCAGATATACACATGGACTTCTGCCCAAAGAACAAAGAAAATGGAAGTGGAGCCTCTATAGTGTTACTTCTAAAAGCTTGGGGCATGTTTGATATGTGCTATTGTATTGGACTAGACAATACAATAGACAAAAATTTAGATTCTTATTTTGTACTGCTTAATAACGTACAATATACCCAGCCAAACAAGCCGTTAAGGCTTCAAGGTTTCTTCTGTTCATCTTTTGAAGACAAGTACAATAGAAAAAAAGATACAGATAATACTACTGGGAGAATTATGTATATTGTTGCCATGAAAAAAATTCTGAGCTGTACACATTGAAAGTCAGAAAACAAGTAAATTTTCTATTATTATTATTATTATTTTTTTTTGAAAGATAAGTAAATTTTCTATTTTACGATGATCCTTGACAAAAAAGAATAGGGGCCTTCACTTTCTACCCTAAAAGATACAGCTTTCAATTATAACGAACAAATTGGAACAGTTGGCTATTGGAGGACCCATGTTCTGAACTTCAAGAAGAAAGGCCTTTGTCCACCCTTGCAATGTCATAACTTGTCAATGCTTCAGATATACTCTAATTAAATCATAGATACCCCCAAATATTTGGAGGAAACTGATACACGATGGCACAGATTAATTGACAGATGCTCATGGGTTCCATCTCCTATTCAAGGCTTCACTCTTGAAGCCACCAACTCCTCATCTTGGCTTGGAAGGAATAATTTTAATTGGAAAAATCCAAGACTGCCCTCAGCTGTCCCACACCAGAAGTGACTGCTTGGACCGAGTTCAGCAGCCTTCCAAGAGCAGTAAAAGGGAGGATGACACCATCACTATTTTGTGCCAGGCTTTTTTGCCATGTGTCTTTCAATCAACATGTCCACAAAGGCTCGAATCTGCCCACGTTAAAATGAAGTGTGAATTTAAGTTTTCCAAGAGAACCTAAAAAGAAACTAAGTTTTCTTAACCACGCATGTGAAGAAAGGGGGTGGTTGGGATAAAGACCAACCACACAAACAAAGCCCAAGGATGAACTCAGAAAATACCATGCATTATGAAAGACCACCAAGGCTAGGTTAGCTTTACAGAAAATTTTGAAAAATTGTCATAAATAACCAATGAATACATAATGGTTCCCAACACATTCACATTCAAATTAAGCCTGTGACATTATATTGCTGCAGGACTATAATAAATTCATTCCGAAAAACATTTTAAACATATAGCCTCTGTTTGACATACATTAAAATTTTCATTCTCATTCTTCTACTCATTTTCAACTACACATTCTTCAATAAAATAATATTTTCCATCACATCAATAACTTTTCCTTCTTTTTCAACACATTCTCCATCAATCTATTATTCCAAAATACATTTTTCCAAAATAATATCCATCAAACACACCCATAAAACAAGAAAAATTAGAAACAAATATAAAAGTATTTTGCCAGATCCACCAATCCTTTGATTTGGAGAACAATTGAACATGATCCCACATCCAATATTCACACCCATGCATGTCAGACAGATGTCATATAATTGATGAACTTGGGGTTAATGATAAAAATCGAGCAGGAAAATAAAAAAAATATCCTGATATGTTTGGTGATTTCTTTTGGAAACATTCATTTCATAAGTAGTGCATATGGCAGACAGATTACAGAAATTCTGACTACCCAAAATCTTATTAGTGATGGACAATCAAACAACCATGATTGTGGTCTATTAACCTATGCTTGATTGACCCTTTGCAACACATTAGCATCCTAACGAAAGAAGCCTGCAGAAACCATTTGCAACAAAAAACTGACAAAACAGGCACTAACATAACTAACGAATAGGAAACTGTGTTCCCACCTTGTTTTTGCGTTTGGAATCAAGAAACTCAAAAAGAGGCATTGCTTTCTCAACATCAGTAGTTTGTTCCATTACCTAAAATCATAGAAATGAATAACATCAGAAAAAGGATGTGGTGGCATCAATGGAGAGTGAATAAAATTGATGAAGAATGAATTAAATGAAGGAGAGTAACCTTTGTGGCAGTTTTCTTCATTATTGACTTATAAGCTTCCTTGTCAATTTTTCTTGCTTTGTAAAGAGGCATGAGCAGTGATGCTACATAATCCACAACAGCATGTTTAATACGGTCTGTCCCCCTAGGTTGATTATCTCTCTTTTCCTTGTTCACTACGATGTGTGAAGCAGAACTCTCATTTGCTGGTGCATCATATTTCAACAAATGTAACTTTGAACTCGTGTTTGAATCCTCCTCATCTTTTACGTGCATTGTCCCATGAGAGAAACCAGAACTTGCAGCAGCTGCTTGACATTGCCATCTCTCAATAGCATTGTAGTCCTTTACACTACCAGCACTATCAACCCATGCTTTTGTGAATATACTGCTGTCTGCAGCTCCACTTTCTCCAGAGTGCTCTTTAAAGTTTAACTGATTTGCAATCTCATTTGAATGGCTCTGCTGTGAATGATTATCAACAGGAACTTTAGAGCTATCAAGGTTGACACCAGCAGCTGAGAAGTCAACAGACCAATCTCTCACCCTGCAATTCCTAGAATCTATTTCGGATAAGCAATCTTGCCTTCCTATTGCACCACCAGACCAATTCCTTCTACTATCAGACTTGTCCATATGTGTATACTGTTCTCGTCTAGCAAATTTGTGAAACGAGAGTATTTTAGGAAGCTGCAGGGAGGTGTTATACATGGCACCAGAAGAAGTATATGCCTACAATGCAGAGGGAAAATGAATATGGTAAGAAGCGTAAAGGCAACAATACTTTTAATGCTCTACTTACCCTTCAATTCACCCCAAAACATAAACCCAATCAATAGGGAGAAATAGGAAGCTATATTATGTTGATGCTGAACATTTTATCTGTAAAGCAAACATGACACAGTTTTCTGCATTTGTTACGACACCAGTTCTTTTTATTTGTTCGGATATCGAAACAAGATGAAGGGTGGAAGATGCCAAAATCAATAGACAAAAAAAGAAATGGACAGGCCAAGACAGGTGACAGTGTGCACAATGACAAAATAGAGGTTTTCATACTTAGCCCCTGTTTGAGCCTCATTCTCTAAAATTCAATTTCCCCAAACTCATTTTCAACCACACATTCTCCAAATAAAATAATTTTGCACTTAATCCAAAACTTTTTCCAACTTTTTAACCACACATTCTCCAAAAATCACTATTACAAAACTCATTGAACATGAAAAATGGGGCTCAAACATAACCTTAGTCTTCACTGCTATAAAGGTCCAAAGCAAGCATAATCCAGAAGAGAGAATTTCTCAAATTTGATGCTGAAAACAACTAATTTGACTAATTGCAATGTAGAACCAACATAGCAAAAAATTGAACAGACATCCACAATTGGCTCACTGCTCA